GGCTTTCAACCCTTTGTGTATTCACGGCTGTTTCAGCTATAGGAACGGCCCATGAATCAACTCTGCAGAAAGTTATAGATATGGGCGTATGGGTAATCCTTGAATTACAATAGTTTGTTTAGTCACTGTTTGAAGTTAGACCGATACTGAAAAAGGCGACTTACAACAGTTTTTCACACTTACAACTAATGCAGCATCCCCAGGGTCACGTGATCATAATTCAGACCACTTGGCAACTGACTCATATTTATGACGGTTGAAGTGCCCCAGCATCACATGTTCCCTTTAGCAACCTTCCAACAAAGCAAAGTCAATGAAGAAACCAGATTCGCTGAACAGCTTTGTCACTAACTTAACAATTGCAGTGATTCTGTTAATAGCTTTGGTGAGCAAAAGTCATAAAATGGGGGCAAAGTTCACTTTAACTACTGTGTCGCTTAGCAACAGAAATGTTTGGCCCCATTTTGGTCGTAAGTCGAGGACTATCTGTATTTTCGCTTAGAATAACAAAAAAAAGAGAAAGAAAGAAAGAAAGAAAGAAAAAGAAAGAAAGCACATGGCCAGCAAGCCACTCCCACCAGGTCACATGGCTGGTAAGCCACTCCCACAAAGGAGGCCGCACCCACAGAGTAGGTTCGAAATTTTTTTGAAATTCACCACTGGTCAGGAGATTCCAGTGGTAATCATGTTAGAAATTATTCTTTCCATATTCGGGTTTCTCTGTTGAGTCCATGGGGGTGCTGCCCCTATGTAAACGTTCTCTTAATTTAGAAAAATCTCACCTGCCTAAGGGTAAGGAATCAATCATGCTGCAGCTGGAAGACCATTATTATCTCCAATTCATGTCGTTGAAAAAGGCCTTAGGAGATTTAAGGCTTATGGTCTCTTTGAAAATAAGTTTATATCCTAATTTTGCCTAATTTATTTACGTTGGCTAGATGCTTTACATCACTTAATACCAAAACTTGCATTGGAAACCAAAACAAAACTGCCTTAATTTTTTTAGTCAGAACCTGGAATGGATGATCGTACTAAACAACGTTGTGTTCCTTTTCAAGGCAACTTCAGATGCGGACCTGAAAGAACACATGGTTGGAATCATATTTAGCAGGAGTAAACTCACGAATTTGCAAAAGCAGGTTTGTTCACTAGAACGTTTTGTAAGCTGGCTTTCTTCCATTACATTGTGCATGTGATCTGCAGATGAAGGACAAAAGATTCCATACGCTAAGAAATCAAGTCACTGGGGAAAGGAAAGGGACCCTTGTCAGTTAGGAACTTGTCAGTGCCCCCAAACCTATAAAACGATGGACTTACAGCTCTACGGGCAAGGGAAAATAAAATGCTTGATTTCCAATGTAAAGATTAAAATTGACCCATCTGTCCAATCATGAGTTTCCACAGTGAACATGTGTAAACATGCAAGTGGTCATGTGCACAGAATGAAGTAAGACTGGTATGCGCAAAATGTTCACTTAGCAGGAGACACAACATACACATACGTACTTGTGAGTTGAGAAGCATCTAGGACAGGAATTGGGGAGGTTGGAAGCTGTATGATAAGCAGGAAAAAAGTCTACCTTCTCATACGTGTGCAGAACATTTGAATCACCCCAGGTCCAAGTTGCCCCAAAGGTGCTTTTCCAAAACCTGACAGGACTTTCTTGTTGTTGTTTTCCAAAGACCAGACGACTTCAAAAAATATAAATCCTTCCATTTCCCACTGTTCCGTTAACACTGAAGAAGCTTTTCAGATGAGAAGCGAAACATTTTCAAGGGAAACCCCCCCCCCCCAAAAAGACTTGTTTTGAAAAAAAACGCATTCAGGACAACATTTTAAGTTTACAGGGGTTTTTTTATTAGCTTATAATATAAAATACAAAAACAAAAAAGCAAAGAGTAGGTAAAATAAGAGAGGGAAAGGGGAAGTACAGAAGTATAGAAAAAAAGGAGTGAGGAAAAAAGGGGATTGACTTCTGACTCCCTCTGGTGCAGTAGAATAAACCTCAACTTACTACTTTTCCATAATAGTATAAACTAGCCATTTCTATAACAACGAATCTATTTACATTTGAATGGTTTGGCCTTGGCAGAAACTGCCTGCATGGTGAAATGCAATGCATCCATTTTGGGAGGATGATTTGGGCAACGTGTATTATTCACCTTACAAGAAGAGCTAGTCCTATTTATATTTGTCCTAAGGGCTTCAGGTTTACCGCTTATAGTTCTAGGCATACATTTTAACCCTCTCTCTCTCTGCCAGCTCCATTCCCTCTTCCCACTCGGAGCTCTCAGGTTGCCTAGCTGCTAACCCTGATTCCCACACCTCCTCCCCCTCCTCCTCCTTTGATTCAGCTGCTGGAGGGGCCACAACAGGGGCATGCCAGAAATCAAGCCACACAAATAAGCAAAGCCCTTTCCACAGAATGTAGGTGGCATGCAAAACCACATTCCTTGCGAAACCTCTCTCCAGGAATCGGTCCCTGGTGCCCAAAAGGTTGGAGGCCCATGGTCTAGGTGATTAAACTAACATGACCAAGCTAGAGTTTAATTTCCTCCAACGCCTCTCTTTGTGGTTTAGGTCTGCGCTCATATCGTGCAAGCCATCCGCATGGAAGCCACGCGGGTCCGAGAAGAATGGGAGCACGCCATTTCTAGCAAGGAGAACGCCAACTCCCAGCCCAACGATGAGGACGCCTCATCGGACGCCTACTGCTTTGAGCTGCTGTCCATGGTGCTGGCCCTGAGCGGCTCCAACGTCGGGCGCCAGTACTTGGCTCAGCAGCTGACCTTGCTGCAGGATCTCTTCTCCCTGCTGCACACGGCTTCCCCCAGAGTACAGAGGCAGGTCAGTATTGAACGGTGGCTCCTTTTTCCTGGTCGCAGGATGATTGGCTCCCCCAAGCAGGGTCGGCTAATCTCTGTGGTTGGTCCTTTCAGGTCACCTCTTTACTGAGGCGGGTCCTGCCCGAAGTCACTCCCAGCCGCTTGGCCAGCGTCATTGGAGTCAAAGCCCTGCCCCCAGCTGATATCAGTGACATCATTCACTCCACGGAGAAGGGAGACTGGAACAAGCTGGGCATTCTGGACATGTTCCTGGGCTGCATTGCCAAAGCGCTCACCGTTCAGCTCAAGGCCAAAGGCACCACCATAACGGGCACGGCTGGCACGGCAGCCGGCAAAGGCGTCACTACTGTCACTTTGCCAATGATTTTCAATTCCAGGTTAGTAGCAGTTACGCAGTTGTTGTCTTGACTCAGTTTCCCATAGACCATGAGACTTTTTTTTTGTAAGATTCATACTACCTTCCCTTTGAGATGGTGTTCACAGCTATGTTCCTGAAAGTTGCTCCAAAAGTACTGTCAATTCTTTCAATACGTTTAATAGAATAGAATAGAATAGAAAGTGGAATGGAATAGAATAGAATTACAGAATAAAATAGAAAGTG